TGCCCGCTGGCAGGACAGATCGAGAAGCTGAAAAGTCCTTGGCTTGGTGTAAGCACTGCTCTGCAACAATTAAAACATCAGCGTGTTATCAGCACTCTTCTCATCCTAAGCCAAAACACAGCATTCTACCAGCTACTAGGAAGAAAATTAACTCTGTCCTAACTGAAACCAGGACACTCTGTTAAATACTACATGCTGCACCTTTAACACCTTCAACAACCCTTTTAACACTTCCTTTATCTTTCACCAACCTGTACTTTTCTAATGCCAACACCAAAGGTCAGTCAGGGGCCAACTTAATTCCATTCCTTTTCCCTCCAATATGCTGAAACAACATATCAGTATACTACATTTCATCCTATTTTCCTTCTCTCCTCAAAAACAACTTTAATTGTAAGATAGCGTTATAGTCGATTGCTCCATAAAGTGGCCATTTAGTTTATATAGAGGCCACCATTGATTGTAATACTTAAATTAAATATACGAGTGGCGGGCGATTCCGTTAGTCCCAACCAGGCTGTGATTTAAAGATCAAATCCGAAATTTCCTTAAGTGGTATATTCTTTATTGCAGCGCTGGATGCACGGGGGATCCTTCCGCCTATCATGCATGTTCGAAGTGACAAACTATCTCATATTTATACAGCGAAACCATGAATATTCAATTAGCACCTATACATAATCATTACATAACCCCGCCTACCCTCGGTTCGTATGCTAATTAGCTTATCAGTCCTTGCGCTTGCGCAAAGCCTTCCAAGAATTGTGGGCCGGGGTCTCCAGGATGTGGGCAGTGGTCTTTGGGAGGAAGGCCGTAGGTCTTCCTCGTAATGCACTTCCTTAATCAGTTGTTTTCCAAGCTGTAAAAATGCTGAGTTGTCTTTCGGTTTAACTGAGGGTCGGCAGATAACAGGATGTTTCAGCTAACAAGACATAACAGACCGTTGACTCAAGTTATCTCGTCTCAGCCTGACTGAGTGTTAACGGATAATGGGATGTTTTCAAATAACAAAATGCTTAAACGTAACAGAAGGTCTACAGATAACAAGATGTTTACTTTGTCCTTGCTAACTTTTAATCACAAGTTTTATTCTATCCTAAAGTGAGTTTATACAATATCAAACCACACGCTTTTATTTTATCCTAAAGTGAGTTTATACTATATCAGCTGAAGCATACTTGCTCTCTTCCGGATCCACGGGTATTCTACTATTAACATGAATGTTCAACTCCTGACAGACCCAGTCCTCCATGGACCCAAATATCGGCCAAAATACATGGGGTCTTAAGGGTTCTTTTGGTCATTCTATCATACAATACTGGACCATTTTTAATTTACTCTTTCATTTTCTGGGGCCCCTATTGTTCCAATTTCTAATCATTATTCATAATGGACTTTCTGGTGGTATATCTGGTAATTTGCTCCCTTTCTTCTGGTCCCTAGTCTTTGATTTTGTCTGACCCATCTAGGAATTTTACTATGGCAATTCCCACAGTCCTTGGTTACCTTAGTAAGAGTGTCTTGCAGGGGGTTTAGGACCTATCACCCACCCACGAATCCTATAGGAATCACTTTGTTCCTTCACCGGCCAAGTCCCTCATGGGAAACTGGAACTGCAGTTAGAGCATAAAAACCAGATACCTGATGTAACCTGTGTGCATCTTGGTGGAGCAGAGACTCCTGGCGCACCCAGTGCTGTTTGCTTACCTCTATTCGTTTAATAAATTATAAACTTTGATTGGAATCCTATTTGGGACTCAGTCATTTATTGCATGCTGGTTTTGGTGATGGTGGGATTCGGAATGCGAGGAGGAGGGGTTTTCTTGTTAATGACACTGCTAATTTATTTCTAGGAGGAAAAAGAAGAATAGTGAGGAATCCCAGATATTAGAGTCTGATGACACTTCTGTGACAGGAGGGAGGAAGACATCTTCTCAAACCAGTAAAGTGCAAGTGGAACAACCCAGAGAATTTACAGAAATTCAGCTCAGCAATGAAGTAGAGGATGGAAAACTTGTAACTGATGCATGTGAAGTCCCCCATGGGAATTTAACTTCAGCAAATGAAGGGTCTTCAAGAGTGACTCTATAGCCTTCAACAGATGGAGAGGAGAGCAAAGCAGGCCCCTCACATAAAGAATGTGGAGGGAATGTTGAGAAAAGTGAAGAAAGCAAGCTGGAAAAACCTCCTGGCCCCATGGAGGTAGTTGCTATCAGAACACTCTGACCTGCTGGGTAGTACCTCTCATCCCAGTGCAGCTGGTTCTCGGGCAGTAGTGGGCATTGCACGGGACAAAGGAACTGAAAATGTGCAGGATGTTAAAAATCATCTTGTACTTTTCTCAGAGAAGCTTCCTCTTAGTACCTCACGGCTCCGTGAGAAACCCAAGATGCATGTTCAGTGTTTGGGGCTGAAATCAGTTTATCCAGACCTGTCGGCTGAGCTCTCCTATGAGAGGCCAACTGTCATGGCTGTTAAACTGCTGTTGCACAATGAGAGATTGTATCCTGAGCTCCCGACTGAGCATGAGCTGGTGCCATTTACTAGAGAGCAGCTGAAGATCTTTGAGCCATGTTTATGGCTGAAGAATGTTGACTCCTACGTGGAGGAATTTCAAAGTGTTGCTCATCGGGACAGGCATGAGTTTTATGAGTTGCTCCTGAACTACATATGCTGCAGGAAGCAGCTGCTGCTGGCTTAGGCGGAGCTGCAGGCTATGATGACAGACTGCGAAAACACGAAGGGGAGATTATGGACCTTTAAATAAGAAAAGAAAACCGTGCAGGTGCTGTCACTGAAGCTACTATTGAGGCAGAACTATTTCAATGAGGACAGAGTTAATTTCAGTTAGGACAGAGTTAATTTTCCTCCTAGTAGCTGGTAGGGTGCTATGCTTTGGATTAGGATGAGAAGAGTGCTGATAACACGCTGATGTTTTAATTGTTGCAGAGCAGTGCTTACACCAAGCCAAGGACTTTTCAGCTTCTCGCTCTGTCCAGCCAACGGGCAGGCTGGGGGTGCAGCAAGAGCTGGGAGGGGACAGATCAAGGACAGGTGACCCAAACTAGCCAAAGGGGTATTCCATACCATCTGACGTCGTGCTAAACAAAATATAGGGGTGGCCAGCCGGGGGAGGAGGGCTGGACTGCTTGGGGTTTGGCTGGGCATCGGTCAGCGGGTGGTGAGTGTTAGGAATGTTATAACAATTCCTGTCCATAAAGAACAGTCCTGTCTGCCTCTGGGTCCTGCACTGGCAATTTAATTCTTGAACCACAGATGCAGTGTGTCCCAGTCTCCCCCTCATTCTAGTCAATTTATCAAGTCTTCAGAAAATACTCCTCAAATTTATGAACCCGTTTGCTTTTGTTATTCCGAACTTCTATTTCTAACAGTTACAGCCTTTTTTTTGTCTTCTTTGAGATTAACTTAACACTGCTATAGGTGTGACTGTCCCTGTGAATGGCTGGTGAGGAATGTTTTAATAAGAAAGCTGTTTGTGTTTGTATGAAGTCTTTGATGACTGGGGGTTTCAGAACAACTGATAACAACTAGTGACTGTTATGGGATACTATGCAGGCCTCTGATATCTGGCCAGGTGGCCAAGAGATTAAGAAGAAGAAAAAAGAAGCTGAAGGACGGCTAGGAGAAAAGACCTGCAGGGGATGCTGTGTAAACTTGACACGGTGCCAAGGAGTACAAAGGGGAAGGACAAGAAAAAAAACTTGGAGAGGAAGACTACGAGCCTTCAGCATGAAAGACCCCTAGAGACCCCCAGAGGGACCACCGGAGACTGATGCGCATGCTCCAGTAGGAGGGACTGGACCCCGGAAGCTAATTATAATAACCTATTTTTTTTAGAAGTAGTAATGAATATGTATTAGTCTAGGAGCATAAAACTCAGCTACTTGATGTAACTGACGAAGACAAGAGTCGTAAGTGTTTGCGGATACCGTTTGGTTGGGATCCGGACGAAGACGACGGAGTCGTTAGTGTTTCCGGATACCGTTCGGTTGGGTAAAGGTGCGGTTGCCAGTGTTTGTGTGTGAGAGTGTAACTGAGACTTCTAAAGTCAGCGTGGAGGTCTTTTTGTTTTCTCACCGGTTCTAATCTCCTGTGGGGGGGCTTGGCCGGTGAAGGGAGTGATTCTATAGAAGTGGTTCCTATAGAATTCAGGGATACGTGGGTGGGTGATAGGTCCTAAACCCCCTGCAAGACACTCTCACTGGGGGCAACCAAGGGCTGTGGGAATTGCCACAAGTAAAATTACCAGATGGGTCAGATAAAATCGAAGACCAAGGACCAGGAAGGGAGCAAATTACCAGATATACCACCAGAAAGTCCATTATGAATAATGATTAGAAATTGGAACAATAGGGGCCCCAGAAAATTAAACAGTAAATTAAAAATGATCCAGTATTATATGATAGAATGACCAAAAGAACCCTTAAGACCCCATGTATTTTGATCCACGGAGGACGGAGTCTGTCAGGCTTTGAACATTAATAGTAGAATACCTGTGGATCCGGAAAAGAGCAAGCTGAAACATTGGAATTAGAAATTAGAGAGCAATTGATTAAGAATGAATATGTGCTACATTTGTGCCTGTGCTGCACTTATACCACCAGATAACAGGAGCCTCTCGGACCCCGAGAACCAGATCAAAAACAACCTCATGGTTCGGACTTTAATCAAGGGGTCTGAGATAAGGAGGACTGTTCACAAAGGGACAGGTTATGCATATGTATAGGAATGTTCATGTATATGTAACTCTTTACTAAAGCAAGTTGCCACGTTAGGTGTACACGACTTTGGTGGGACTACCCGCCCCGTGCTGCACGGAACTGAGTAAACATACCTACTTTACAATCTTACTGATTGTGGAGTCAGCTTTCTGTGAGTCATTTTGGTGAGCCAGGCAGGAGACACTCTGCTCGGCTGCGGGATCGGCTGCGGCGCGGACACCCCTAGGTGCACCCTGAGTGTTTTGCTCGGAGGGGACTCCACTCTCAGCTGCTCACCGCAGGAGCAGGCAAAGATCTCCTGAAGCTGCAGACAAACGGTATGTTTTCGGCTGCTGGAAGGATACTAACTGGAGTGTTAATAATTGTATGTGTTTTTAAATGTCCAGGTATTTTGTGTTGAAAGTATTTGTGTAAGTGTAAGGGTTTAAAACAAAGTGTTACAAATCACTTCACGAGGAACAATACTTATTTGGTTGGTTATCATTCTAAATTATATTCCTGTGGTATGAATGAGATGTGCTAGAGGCCTCTGTGTGCGATTGTGCTGTGTGAGTGAGACGCAGCGTCGCTGCAAAGCGAGTGCAGAGTTCCGATCCGTGGTTCCGTACTCTCCACAACGGGAGTGGGCTGAGACAAATGAAGTGCGTGACAGACTGAAAAGAAGTGCTGTTTTATCCAAGTTTTGAGTGGTGATGCTTCCTGCAACATATGAGGCCCGAACAGGCTGAGGCCTGAACAGGCTGAGACCTGGACTCACTGAGACCCAGACTCGCTGAGACCTGAACAGGCCGAGAGCCTGGAGCGGCACCGGGAGACCCAAGGCACTACGGAGGGGACTACCGCTGGACGGAGAGAGCCCTGAGAGAGACACTGCAGAGCCACAGATGGCTCTGAGAGACACAGAGTAGACCTGACAGAAGCCGGAACACCTGAGAGACATTGAGAAACTCCATGCACCGACCCAGACAAAGGACTCGCGGGGAGACGCAGGACGTCCGAGATCGAGTTGCTACGGGAGACCAGAGGCGTCAGTGGACAACGGCAGCCGACCCTCACCGTGTGGCGAGTCGGCACAGAGCAGAGGGGCGGACATCAGGACCCTGCAGCCTGTCTGACGTAACCATGGAGGCAGCAGCGGCTGTGCTGCTTCACTCTAGCATTCTTTTTATAAAAGGTTTATCTTGCAATGCAAAAAAGACTATTCGTCCCCAGATCGGTGTTATAACTATTACTAATGACGACTTAGCTCTATTGCAGGGCAGGAGTGCAGAGACGCAGATTACACTGCCAAATGACCACCGGCAGGCTCTTTCACAAACAGCTTCTAAGGTTGCAGCTGGCACTGCCTGCAGCCGTATAGCAGACGTTACACTCTCTTTCCTAACTAGTAATCATGTGTCTCATCCATTTGTGGTGAATGGTCAGTGGCAAAAAGAAAAGGGGGAGAGTAAGGGGTGACAAAGACAGAAATGGTACCAGGAGGATGCCACTGACAGCACGGGTAATAGGAGTAGTATAAGTGACACAGGTGATGGTGCGGGGTGGCGGCGGGCGCTGCCGCGCTGCGGGGCACTCTGCCTGCTGCTCGCCCTCGCCTGACTGTGCACTGCTGCCGACGGTGCTAGAGCAAAATGTGAAGACTGCTCAGATGGCAATGATGAGTGCTTGTGTGAAGAAGACGTGTGCTGAATCTGACTTTGTGTGCAACAGTGGTCAGTGTGTGCCAAACAGATGGCAGTGTGATGGGGATCCAGACTGTGAAGATGGGTCTGATGAGAGTGCTGAGCTGTGTCATATGAGAACAGTGTCATGGAAATGTAATGGTGAAAAAGACTGTGACAGTGCAGAAGATGAAGAGAATTGTGGCAATGTGACTTGTAGTGCAGCAGAGTTCACATGCAGTAGTGGACAATGTATTTCCAAAAGCATTGTCTGCAACGGTCAAGGTGACTGCTCCGACCACTCGGATGAATCTTTGGAGCAGTGTGGCCGCCAGCCTGCACATCCGGTGAAGTGTTCTGTGAGTGAGGTGCAGTGCGGCTCAGGTGAATGTATCTATAAAAAGTGGTGATGTGACAGAGATCCTGATTGCAAGGATGGAAGTGATGAAATTAACTGCCCTTCTCAGACCTGCATGCCAGACCAGTTCAGGTGTGAAGATGGGAACTGTGTCCATGGGAGTAGGCAGTGCAGTGGTGCAAGAGACTGTCTGGATGGCACTGATGAAGCAAACTGTAACAATGTTATTCAGTGCTCTGGACCTGGCAAATTCAAGTGCAGAAGTGGAGAATGCATAGATATCAATAAAGTGTGTAACCAGCAGAGAGACTGCAAAGACTGGGGTGATGAGCCCCTGAAGGAATGCAACATAAATGAATGTGACTGTCCAGCTGGGAAACTGTGGAGATATTGATGAATGCCAAAACCCTGGTACCTGTAGTCAAATCTGTATCAACCTAAAAGGTGGCTACAAATGTGAATGTAGCCGTGGCTATCAGATGAATCCTGCTACAGGAACCTGTAAAGGGCCATAAGGCAAAGCAAATTACATAACCGTTGCTTTACTTGTCAGAAGATAAAAAAGAAAGTGTTTCAACAAGCAGCCACGGGAGGGAAGAATCACTGAACCCTCGATGTGAGGGACTGTACCTTGTTTTACTGACTACTGAAACAGCTGTGAGAACCGCAGAAAGGGACCCACGCATCCAGAATAAAAGGACCAGTAACTACTGAAACTTGGAGGGTTGAGTCTGCTCCTGGGAAACTGAAACTCAAGCTAAGGAAGAACTAATGTTCTGGCAAAGAGGCTCTGCATGAATTAAGGATGCCAAATAAAGGGGACAAGCCTGAAGGGAGGAAAGGGAGAAGGCAAGACCGGGGCAGGACCCTCCACTGCAGTGTGTATGGTCTACCGAGGGAGGCAACCCCTATGGGTATTGACTGCCGAGTGAGATGGCCTCGACCGGACTTCTCCCACACTAAGGTCATGTTGTCCTGAGAAAATAACATAAGAACCCTTTTTTAAACCTATATAAAATTGTGATTCATTTTCCAGGAGCTGGATCACCCTGACAGGCCAAACAGTAACACAAGCCTGAATCGACCCTGAAAGCGGGCCCAACCCCTTGATTGAAGGCATTTGCCTATTATGATCCAGCTACATGGGCAGAAGACAGATCCTGGGGCTATAGGACCCCAGTATATATGCTTAATAGAATAATTAGGTTGCTAGCTGTATTATAAATAGTTATAAATAAAACCGGAGATGCACTTGGATTAATTGCAAAGCAAAATACCAAGATGAGAACTGCTTTGTATCAAAATCGCTTAGCTTTGGATTATTTACTAGCACAAGGAGAAGTCTGTGGAAAATTTAGCTTTAGTAATTGCTGTTTAAAGATTGATGAAAAGGGTGTTTCTTCCTCGTAGCTGGTAGAATGTTATGTTCTGGTTTAGGATGAGAAGAATGCTAATAATATGCTGATGTTTTAATTGTTACAGAGCAGTGCTTACACCAAGCCAAGGATGTTTCAGCTTCTCATTGTCCTGCCAGCGGGCAGGCTGGGGGTGCAAGGCTGGAAGGAGGTCCGGACTACTCCGCGTTAGGCTTGGCATCAGTCAGCAGGTGGTGAGCAATTGCATTGTGCATCACTTGTTTCGTACACATTATTACTAGTAGTACTATTATCATCACTGTTGTCATTATTATTATTTTCTTGTTTTTATCTCAACTCACAGGCTTCACTTTCCCATTTCCCTCTCCCATCGCAGAGAAGGAGGGGGGGAAGGTGAGCGAGGGGCTGTGTGTTGTTTAGCTGCCCACTGGGTTAAACCACAACAGAAAGAAAAGCTGTAAATGAACTTGTAAAGGAAATTAGAAAATTGGCCCACGTCCCAGCACAAACCTGGAAGGATATGGAATAGGATTTATTTTCATGGCTGCCTAGTGGACCATGGGTTAAGAGTGTTATTGCTATTGTTACGTGGTGTAATGATGTTATTGTTTATACCTTGTATGATACCTTGCCTTACGTTATTAATAGACTGGGTTATAAATAGTACATTGGTAATGACTTCATTAAAAAAGGAAGGGGATATGTCAATTATGATGCTTAAGGATTGGACCCTCCAAGAACGGACTGATGAAATCCAGTTATTAACAACAGAAGAGACACAAATTGGGGATATTAAAAGATAAGGGATTGTTAGGAATGTTTTAACAATTTGTGTCAATAAAGAACAGTCCACTTGCTTCCCGCTTCCCAACTGATCCATTAACAAATGTCAGCAGAGCTAAATCATGCTTGAAGCCAAGGATGAAGCCAAACTTTTCCATTTCAGTTACATGCTCTAACACTGGGACCTTGTACCTCACATCATCTCCATTTAGTGTACGAAGGAGAGAGTCAGGAATGGAACAGATGCTTTGATATTCAATCTTCCTACAAACCAGTTGTGACTGAAGCTTATTGACAGAACTACAGCAAACCACAGAGGAAGGTAGTATTTAAATCCCTCACAGTTAATGTAACAGCTAAATGTGCAAGTGTCCTGAGACACAGGGACAATCAGTTCTGAAAGAATACATCTTCTGAAAGCCAGGCACCAGGAGCATGACTTAGCAGTTCTAAGAAATAGTCTGTCACAGTATTAGACTGTGAGAGGATAAGAATACTGTGAGGTATTAACTACCACCCATGCCAAGACAGCTTGACAACTTCCACAGGTGTATGCCTTCCTGTGACATCAGCTGACTAGCAAAAACAATGAAAGCAACAAGAGCAACCTTCAGTTGTCATGATAGGAACTGCAGTCAGCCACAAAATCCCACCACTACCCCTCCCAGGTTTTATACAGGCGGTTTGATCTACTCAACAGTCAAACGTACCCTGTTTTTTCAGAGTTCCTTTAGCAAGCATTTGTCCAGGGAAGTTGTGCACATGTGTAGTTAAAGTAGCTAGCCAAAAGGACAGTAATTGAGAACAGAATATCCAAGTCTTTTTACATGGAAACTTTTATTCTCAGTGAGATCTGTACATTCAAGTCTCGCATACTTTGAAGTCTTCAATGGAGCTGGAGCACGTGAGCACAAAAAACACCTCATCTGTTTGAATGGTTAAGAGTTTATGCCTCAAAAGTAGCCAGGAAATTTGTGACTATTTCCTTCAACCTCACTTCTGTCTGGTCAGAGATCTTCCCTTCGGTCCTGTTGAAGGAGAGTTCAATTAAGCTTCTGACACAGAAATGAATGTACAGTTAATTCCCAAGTAAAAAAAAAAACAAAACAAACAACATACATACACTTTAGTAACACAACATCCCTTCTCCTCAAGAAGAGTTAGTCCTGTTAAGAACTAAGGTTTATCAACAAATACTCTCAGAACAGAGCCTTGCTGAATTGGGTACAGCTACGCCACAGAGGTGGAATGCACAGATCTGACTCAGGACAAAGCAAGCTAGAACCAGGTCACAGGACAAGACCATGAAAATACTCAAATCCCAACAGTCAGCTCAGTAACAAGGCAGCAAGCAGCACTTCGTCTACAGTAGTCTAATAACTCAGCTATCAAAATCATGCCAGCTCACTGCTTGAACTGATTTCAATTTCTGATTACAGGACAAGCATGCAAATAGGTTCATTTTAAGCATCAGCTGGATTTCTTGAGTAAAAACTGCAGACAAGATGCTGAGCTCTGGATAACAGCACAAGGACAGCAAGCAGGCTGATTTAACCTCCAGTCAGAGGCAGCAGAAGGCCTAATGTTCAAGGATACACTAGCTTCACAGTTCAGTGACCTTTATCTGTGCTCCAGCTCTCACCCCTGGGATGAGCTAAGATGAATTATTATACCTGATCGTGGAGAGGAGGGTCTGGTGCTGGCTCAGTACATGAGCTAGGAAAGCACTCTCAAATTTAGTGATTTTGCTGGGCTCCAGCTTGTCCAAGTGACCTCTTACACCAGCATAGATAACTGCAACCTGTTCCTCAATAGCCATGGGAACTGCATGAAAGAAAACATTCATACTATTAGCAACTCTTGTGTCAGGATACATCAGTATCAGTCTCTCTGAAGATCAGCTGTATTTATGCAAGTCAAGCCTGCATTTACAATACCCAAAGGATATCTTCATGCTGCCACAAAGACCAACGCAACAGACTAAGAGGGAATGCAGGCACATTATACCCAAGACACTCACCGTACTGTCCTTGTTTAAGGAGCTCTGTCAGACGCACACCACGATTCAGCAACTGCTGTGTGGCAGCATCCAAATCAGACCCAAACTGAGCGAAGGCAGCTACTTCACGGTACTGAGCCAATTCCAGCTTCATGGTACCTGCCACCTACAATAACAGGTGAGGTCACACTGAGTTTCCCTAGTTTTTAAATGAATCTAGTTGTCTGTGGGTCATCTTCAGCTGACAGTTGTCACAAGTCAGCTAAATAGGTGATTAATCATATTTCTAAGAAATCCCACACTGTCTGGCCATAACTTGTTATTCCTCCCTGAAAGTATCACAATTGATACATCTAACTTGTATCTGGATTAAAAAGTGTAGCATTAAGAGAGCATTCTCTGTGTCCAACTACATCAGCATAATTAAACTGACTATTTTTGACTGGTTTTGACTAGTCAAACATCTCTACACAGATACTCTTCCCTCCAGTCCCCATGCCCTGCTTCCTGCCAGCATGTGATAGAAATACCACAGATCACACAAGTTTGTTCTTTGAGAATTTTCTGAAGTTATTTCATAATACCAAGGAATTCAGAACTTAATTCCCTTTGTATTCATGACTCTGTAAAGAGTGAAATGGGTTGGATAGCTTGAACACTACTCATGTGATGACAGAAGCTATCATTCCATGCTTACTTGCTTCATAGCCCTGGTCTGAGCAGCAGAACCCACACGGGACACAGACAGACCAACGTTGATAGCTGGACGGATACCTTTGTAGAACAGCTCGGTTTCCAAGAAGATCTACAGGAGAGATTTGTTTTATTATCCTGGTTAGAAGCTCAGAAGCCTCCTTCAGACATGCCAGTACATCTGTGTAACTTACCGGCAGACAAAGAGTAAGCCCTACCTGTCCATCAGTGATAGAGATGACATTAGTTGGAATGTAAGCAGACACATCACCAGCCTGAGTTTCAATGACAGGCAGGGCAGTCAGAGAGCCACCTCCAAAGGAATCATTCATTTTGGCTGCTCTCTCCAGCAGGCGGGAGTGCAGGTAGAACACATCACCTGGGTAGGCTTCACGACCAGGTGGACGGCGCAGCAGCAGAGACATTTGACGGTAGGCAACAGCCTATGCAGAAGCATAAAGAAAGCTCTCAGATTTCAGTAGATCATTTAAAATTTGGATTTTTTTAAGCCTAAGGTGATCTTACAGCTATAAGCATCAATGCTCAACTACGAGGCCTATAAAGCAATGTTTCCTGACCTGCTTGGATAAGTCATCATAGATGATCAATGCATGCTTTCCGCTGTCTCTGAAGTATTCCCCCATGGAGCAGCCTGAATAGGGAGCCAGATACTGAAGGGGTGCAGCATCAGATGCTGTGGCAGACACCACAATAGTGTACTTCATGGCATCTGGAAAGAATTTGAGAGACTTGTCACCTTAAGTACATTACCTTATCATGCCAGTAATCAGCAAATGCAACACGTATACCAAGTGCTAGTTGCTGAAGTAAACACAGGCAGTATCACTAGTTACAGGAAAGAACAACAGATATTAACCTATCATTTAGCTTGACTAACTCAGGAAATTTCAAGAACAAGTTTATAGCAGCTATTGTCTAACACTCACAGATTATTTTTCATTTAAAGTAAGGCTTAAGCTTTGACTAAGACACCCTTGGGCTCTAGAGGAGAGGGATCTGGAAGTCTGATTTCTTAGCTTTTACAAGAAGACACTACACTGCTTCACAGTCAAAAACAAATTGCCACTAAAATACCTTTTTTCCCCTACTGGGTATGATTCTGCTTGACCAGCAGGTAAGAGGTAAGGTGCTTAATTTCTTCTAAGCTCTGTTATATATGCAGCTTTTTTGTCAGACAAAAAACTGTTTCTGAAGTTTCTATCACATAATGGATTATGTTTGGGCAGTAAAGTCTCTTCACCAAACTTTAAATTGTCATTCACACTGACTTGTGCACAAATGAAGCAAACGCTAAGTCCATAAAAATACTTGTGGGCCACAGTTTATAATCAGGCCTGCCTGACTGTCAAGAGGAAACTCCCCCAACTCTGATGAAAAAAACATGAAGGATAATGTTTTTAGAAGCAATTCAACAGTTTCAGGGCATCATACTACTTTTCTAATCCAATGAAGTAAAAGTGTCCCATCCCTGAAAATGGCTGTAAAAACTTGTCCAGAAAAACAAGTAGTTTTTTCATCTATTAAGAAAATAATTTTGTCTGTACTTTCAATTAGGAGATTTCATAACATTATAAGAACAGGATGCCCTCATTTGCCAGGCTGATGACTGAGATCTGTACCTGCATCTGTGAGCCTCTTCACCAGCTGCGCAACAGTAGATCTCTTCTGACCAATGGCAACGTAGATACAGTACAGCTTCTTTTTCTCATCTGTTCCATCATTAAATCGTTTCTGGTTGATTATCGTGTCAATTGCAATTGATGTTTTCCTGTACAACACACAGTTTGGTTAAGTTAAGCTACCCATTGTCCTCCCAACCTCCACCCAGCTGCATTCAGGTTCATGCAGTAGAGCACGCTGCATTCAAGTCTATTTATAGAAACATTTTTCTTTGGGCATTTAACTTACCCAGTCTGCCTGTCACCAATGATCAGCTCACGCTGTCCACGGCCAATTGGCACCAAACTGTCCACAGCCTTAATACCAGTCTGCATAGGTTCCCGCACAGAGATTCTGGGAATGATGCCAGGGGCCTTTAAGCCAACTCTTCTACGTGTCTTAGATGTAATAGGACCCTTAAAAGAGAAAAAAACCCTGTTGCAGTCTGCATCACACAGGAGAAAGCTTAATGCTTAGCATTACACTGACCTTCCCATCAATGGGATTGCCTAGCGCATCTACTACACGGCCCAGCAGCTCTTCCCCAACAGGAACATCCACAATGGCACCAGTCCTCTTCACGACATCCCCTTCCTTGATCAATCTGTCATTACCAAACACGACAACACCAACATTGTCGGGCTCCAAGTTCAAGGACATTCCCTATGACAAAGATCATGCTAACATGAGAAAAGTGATACCAATATCTATGGTAAATTTTTGATGCTTTAATATTGATGCAATTAGTCTCCAGCATGAAATATGGGACACCATCAACAATTATCAATGTTCTGCTTACATCAAAATCCTAGAATATCCTGAGCTCGAAGGGACCCACAAGGATCGAGTCCAACGCACTTATCTTCTCCCATACTGGTGACAGAACCTGCCTAAGCCTTCAGTTTACTACATAATTATACTTGCAGCAATCATTCCTCTCCCAAATAAAACCAGAAAGGATAAGTAGGCTTCAAATACATTTCTCTTACCAAGGAATTAACAATGGAACTGGCTTATCTGCCTCAGGCAAGCCAGAGCATTAACAA